AGTGACCTTCGTAGTTTAGGGCTCAGGGTTCCTAGGCCCTCATCTCGAGTTTAGGGTTAAAGCTTTTGGAGTTCCTCATCCCGAACCTATGGCGTAGGGTTTAGGGGTTTGGGGACCTCCTTCCTCTGTAGAATATGAGGGTTTAGGGTTTAGGGTACTTTCAAGAATAAGGCTTCAAGATTACCAGAAGGGTTTAGGGGTTGGGGTCAGTGCTGTTCTGTTGATGAACGTCTTCAGGTGGGCTGCCATATATGTCCCATATAAGAGGCATTGAAGAAGCGCTCAGCCGTAAACCCCAAACCCTAAACCCAAAGCCCTAAGCCTAAACCCTGCTTATAGCGCTTAGTGCTGATGGGTTTCCGGTTCAAGATGCTCTTAGCTCCGAAATTCCGGGGCCTCGGATCTCTAGTTTGGGCTTCTGGGGTTTGGGGCTTCAAGAACCTTAAAAGTGAGAGGGTTTAGTGTCAGGGTTTAGGGCTTACACCTAAACTAAACCCTAAACCCTAAATTCTAAACTATAGGGTTTAGGTTTCAGGGTTTAGGGCTTAGGGTTTGGGTAGGAGGAAGGATCCCTTACCGAAGAGCTCTCCTTTAGGACCACCTACCTGCATCCCACCTCTTGAGCCCTTGGTGTTCGAGATACCTCTCCACCCTCTTAGCTGCTGAGTTCATAAGCCAGAACAAGGCACTTTCAGTTTCACCAAAAAGTTTAAAGTGTACTCATTCAGCTACTAATCCCTTACCCTCGCATCCAACGCGGGGATTTTGCGTTTGCCGGGAGCCAGGGCATCAGACGCTCGGGGTTTTCTGACTGGTTCTGAGTAGGGAAGGTGGAACGGGTTATTGGGACGACTACAGGATCATAGGGATCCGTTCTTCCCTACTAAGAACCAGGGAGTGTTGCATGCAGGGTTGTCAGCTCCACCAGCTACTGATCAGGCCTGCCCACTGAACGAAGATCCCGGTGATTCAGTGTAGGTTTAGGCTTTAGGGCTTTTAGGGGTTAGGGCTTTTAGGGTTTAGCGTTTAGGGTTTAATTTAGGGCTTAGGGTTTACACCCAGTGTAGGTCATTGCAAGTAGGTGCTGTTTTGGGATACTGGAAGCATTCGGGGATGTAGGGACTGCACATCCAGGGCATCCGATCCCTCGGTGCCTGGTGCAACGACGCCGGGATACAGCCGTAGCCATGGCTTCGTACCTTTCTAGAGCCGGGCTCAGGGGCACTTCGTGGTAGTGGCAGTGATGTGGGTTTAGGGTTTAGGGTGTAGGGTTTAGGGTGTAGGGTTTAGGGCCTTATAAGGTTTAGGGTGTATGGTTTAGGGTTTAGGGTTTAGGGTGGTAGCAATCGTATTTAGCAGTCCCGGTACATGTCATCGTCCTCGTCGCTGTCGTCGTCGTCGTCGTCCTTCTGATCGTACTTCCTGTCCGGCTCGTTCAGGGTGGGTCGTCCTCGTCATCGTCTTCGTCTTCCTCGTCGTCGTGTTCTGGTCGACGTGCTTACTCCTTCTTATTAATCGTAATTGCATGTACATGCGCATACACACTTCGCCCTCGCTTTCGAGATTCGTTGTTGCAAGGCTCATGTCTATGTACATACTTTGGACCTATGTGTACATCACAGATACATGCATGCATGTGTACATACATGTAGACTGCGCCGCTCAGCATGGCATCAAGAACGAACGTAGCCGATGCTTGAAACGGCAAACCCCTCATAATGGGCAGCAAAGCATCATCTGAGAACGACAGATTCACAGAATTGAAGAAAACTACATACACTCTTCGATTCAGACAAACAAACATACAACCATACAGACAGACCGAGAGACAGACAGAAGGCAGACAGACAGGCAGACAGGAAGACAGGAAGACAGACAGAACGACAGACAAACAGAAAGAAAGAAAGACAGACGGACGGACAGACACACATACACACAAACAGACAAACAGTCTGGCGGGCAGGCAGGCAGAGAAGCAAACACGCAAACAGTGTAGTGTAGGCATACAAACACACAGCCAGCCAGACAGACATGCAGAGAGACAGGTGGAGATACAGGCATCCACAGACACAGCCAAACGAGCAAGCATGCATAAATGCAGACAGATGGGAAAATAGGTATGTCTACTAGTACATATATGTACATATTCACATGTATCTGTACATGTGGCTGTACATCTGCATATTTATCAAATACCAAAAATGAGCTTTTAGTACCGGCACGAATAATTGCACACACACACACACACACCAAGATGCATGCATGCATGCACAGATACTTAGATACCACGATGCATGATACATATATAGACAATCACCGACACATATATGCATGGAAACACCGATGCATCGATACATCGATACAACGAGAGATATTTACCTACCTACCTACCTACCTACCTACCTACCTACCTACCTGCCTACCTACCTACCTACGGAAAGTTAGGACACACATACAACCGTGCCTATGTACGTACATGCACACACCCCAAAATATTTCCATACTATGTACATTAAACAGATATACTGTATTGGGTATACATATGCATACGGGTGTTATCCGAGATTCTTTCTCCTAGAAACAGCCCGTTCCGCGCCGCTCTCCCGAAGCTTCCGCGCTCTTTCGCACACGAGCAAAAACAACACCTCAACACAACTCGGGCACAGAAGCATCTCTGAAAGCTGTTGAGAGACTCAAATACCAAACAATACACAGCTCTGATATATGTTCCTGGCGATGGTTTGTCACACACGCATACAAACAATCAACCACAGACACAGACACAGACACAAACCATTACACTCGCACACACACACAACAAACAGACACACCAACGAACAACTAACAAGTCCCACCCACCCACCCACCCACCCACCCACCCACCCACCCACCCACCCACCAATACACGCACGCACACACACACACACACAACAAAGAAGCACAACAAATGAAGACGGCAACATTCACATCATATCACTCGGCATCCTCCCGAGACCTCTCACGTACACTGTCCAGACTGTAAGCTGAGTGACATGGAGCCCTAAACCCTAAAAAACCCTAAATCCTAAAACCCTAAGCTGAGTGACATGGAGCCCTAAACCCTACTAAACCCTATATACCCTATAAGACCTAAACCCTATAAAAACCTAAGCTGAGTGACATGGAGACATCAGGAGTAACCTCGGATTCCCGCATGGCTTGCCTGGGCGGAGGGTCCGTGTGCGATGGCGGGGTGGTCCCAGGGACTCCAAAACCCCTTAATGAAGGAATATACCTTAAATTATAACACGGTTATTAGTTTAAGGTATATTCCTTAATTAAGGAATATACCTTAAAATCGTACTAGGGTTCCTATTATAGTTTCAGGCATATTCCTTACATTAAGGGGTTTTGGAGTCTCTGGGGTGTTCGGGCGCTGGGTTCTCCAAGGTGTACAGGGCTTTTTGGAGTTTGGGGTTTGGATTTGAGGATTTTACAAGGTTGACGGTTGCGGGTTGAGGGTTTACGGGTTTAGGGGTTCAGTGGTTTAGGGTTTTAGGGTTTTAGGGTTTAGGGTTTTGGGGTTTTCGTTCTTGAAGGCTGGGCTCCGAGGGGTTAGGATTCCCAGACCTTAGAATCTCAGAAGCTGTTCAGGTCTCCTTGCGGTGGTCTCATCAAGTCCAACGACTCAAACCTTGGGGGGGCATCTCGCGTGCAGCTTCCGACCGTGGCTCTTAGAGTTTAGGGCTTAGCGCTCACCTGTATCCGAAAATGACCTACCTTTTCACGGAAATATCTATATATATATATATACATACATATTATATATATATATATTATATGTATGTATGTATGTATGTATGTATGTATGTATGTACGTATGTATAGATAGATAGATAGATAGATCGATAGATAGATAGATAGATAGATAGAAACCATAGTAAGGAACCCTAATTAAGAGGTAGGTCTTTTCAATTTCGGCTACAGGTAGGGTTTGTGGGATGGCGATGGGGGAACTTGCAGAAAACTGTCCGACAAACCACAGTTCACACACCAGATTCATGACCTAAAGTAGCTTAGTTGCAGAATAGGGCTTTGGGGTTTGGGGTTTGAGGGTTCAGGGATTGGGGTTTAGGGGTTTAGGGGCCTGAATAATTTAAATTAGGGTTTTGGGGCATATGAATGACACTCTTTAATCTTCTTTGCTGAGTTCATGTGCCAAAAAAGTGTACACTTTAACTTTCAGTTTCATAAGGAGTCATATTAGCCAAAACAAAGTTAAAGTGTACTCATTCAGCTACTAAGTAACTTCGCTGGAGGCCTCTACACACTCAAACTGTAAGGGATGATGGTAGTAAACTGTACTATCCACTGTAGTGATGCCCAGCCCACTGCGTACCCGTAAACGAAGATTACAGGAAACTACAGGTGGGGAGTTTAGGGTTTCTAGGCCTTCTATAAGTCTTCTATAAGGTGTATATATATACCTGCGTAGCCGTACGCATGTTAATAAATAGTCGAATTGCTGAACAGCCGTGATTCAGGCAAACGCCTGGAAAGCTCTGTAAACGCATGTGATCCAGGACCGCGGCTCGGAACAGGTGCACTTCATGTCGTGGAAGTTTATATGGTTTTCCTGTAGATTCACTATAGATAGCCTTTCAAAGAGATCGATTGCAACAGCTTTGCCGGAAGCAATTGCAAAGGCTAATTTAGGCTTTGCACATGCAATGAATGGCACGCTGTCTGTGCTCATAAAGAAGATTTCCGCCGTCACGGTACGCCCCGGCATGATTCTGCGAGACTTCTTGCGTGCTTGAGGACCAGCATAATGGTACCGATATATATATATATATGCAATTTTGCCAGGTCTCATGCTGGTATTCGCGAACCTCGATGTCTTCAGAAGGTGCGCCCCGCCCAGCCCATGCAAAACTTTTGCGTGCATGCATTGCATACATTAATTCTCTTTTAGGCTGTTGTGTTACGCAGTCGGGGTTCAAAAGCCATGTTTGTGCACCATGGGGGACATAACATTCGACGCGTGCGTCGCGATGTGGGGCGAAGTTGCCTACCTCCGCCGTGCTGGTCGCAAGTTGAAGCTACTGGTTGAGGACGTGAAAAAGAGGAAGCATATTGTTGCCAGTTTGCCCAGTATCAAACTTAACAAACAGCTTCTTCGTCCGTTGACAATGGAGATGGCACGACAAGGGCGGATCAGCAAACCTATAGATGCAATCAAGGATGCTTTCGCTGCATTCTACAAAAGCCAGATCGAAGAGGACGAGGATTGCAATGTCGAGTCTCGAGAGACGGAAATCAAGATCACCCGGCTGGCTTCAGGTTCGGCTTTCTTTGTCAAAAAGATGTTGACCGTCGTCAAACGCAAATGGAGTTTGTGGGAACTACCTAGAGTGCCTTAACAGATCTAACTTCGCCGCGGGAAACTGCTTGCGGAACTGCCGATGTCTTTCGCGAAAATCATAATAAGGACACTGACGTGAGAGAGATGGTCTTCGACCTCGCAAGAGCTGTTTCGAGCGCCAGAGAAGAGACTTTTCATGCATTGCACTTGAAGGCTTTGCCCAAGCTAGGAAGGACGCTGTGCGCTTGAAAAGAGTAAGAGCGGCTCGCGAAAGCCACTCGACGACTGCGCGATGGGGGACGAGGAGTTGCGTGAGGGTCTGCAGAAGGCAGATCGCCAGCGGTCGGATGGTCATAGGTCTCGTTTGGATTGCCTTAAAGCCCCGCCGAAAGCATTTCTTGACAAAGCACTCGGCTTCCCGCTAGATGAGGAAGCCCTGAAGGTGCATTTCAAGAAGAAGCAAGAAGCTCGCGAGGCTGCACGGGCATTGCAGGACGAGCCACCGGAGTCGGCTGAGCCGGCAAAGCCAGCACCAGCCCCGGCAGCTGAGTCAACTCAGCTGGACACTGCAAGTGTTTCTGAGCAGGGCTTCCCCTCCGAGGAAGCTGAGCGGGTTGAGCCAGGACCGCCTCCTTCGACGTATCCTGACGTCGATCTTTCCACACCGAAGAAGCCCAGAGGCACCCCATTGCAGGTTATCGAAGTGTCCCCTTCAAGCCCTGAAGACACTTGGTATTGATTCGACCGATAACGTCGTGACTTTGCAAACTCTTATGCAGTGTTGCAATATTATGATCATGCATGATTAATCGAAACTTCCATCGAGGAATCGGCCGACAAGAAGCGCCAACAATGGGCTCGACACGGCCTCACGCAGCTGGCTGGAGTGGATCCGGATACTCTTCGTGCGACGTTGTCCGTTGTCAGAAGCCGATTGTAGGAGGCTTACCTGTGCATGTGCATGTGTGTGTGTGTGTCGATTGATAGTTCTGCAAAAGCCTTGGACAGTCCATGCGAAAAGCTTTGAGGAGCTCTTTGCGGGCAAGTCCGCCGGCTTCAGCGTCCGCCGGAGCTATCGGAAATGATGCAGCTTTTGCAGGTCCTGTGTGCAAGCATGAACTGCAGCTGCTTGTCTGTTTTGTACAGTGCTGGGCAGGCGGGATGGACAACTTGGAGACACAGGTGTGGGATGGAGCACCAGCGGCCACTCGCATGGCTGCTGCGGCTGCACCAAAGCCCACTAACGAACCCAAGGAAAGCAAGGATTCACGTGGAAAGATTCTTGGAGATCTCCATGAGGTTGAGACCATCGGTACTCCAGCCCCTGGGTAGCATTCTCACGCAGCGTGATTTGCAGTATATGAATTGTCGGGGGTTCACGGTTCATGCTTCCTCTGAGGCTGCCAGAGTGGTGACTCGCAAAGATCAGTTGGCTTTGTCTGCGGGTAAGAAGGACAAAAACGCAGAGAATGATGCTGAAGTGTCCAAACCTGCAGGGAAAAGAAAGAATGGTCCCGGCAGCCACTTTCGACGCGGAATGTCGAAGAAGCGACTTCTCTCGCGCATGATGAGCTTCCGGTCCAAGAGCGTCGAGACAGCTGCTGCCTCGCGCACAGGTTGCGGGAAGTCTGGCAAGAATGCCACTGGTCCTAGGGATGGCAGCAAGACTGCCAAGGAAGGCGGCATGCGTGGCAAATCGGCCAAAGCTGGCAGCAAGGCTGTCAAAGATGATGATGGCAGCAAGCCTGCCAGAGGTCGTGGCAACGCCGCCAAACATGGTGGCAGCAAGCCTGCCAGAGGTGGTCGCACGGAGGCTGCCAAAACTGGTGGCAGCAAGCTTGCCAAAGGTGGTGGCAGCAAGCGTGCCAAGAAGGCCGAGATTGCCGAAGCGAAAACGGCCACGAAGCCTAAGGCCAAAGCCAAAGCTGGCAAGCGTGCTAAGCCTTGTGAGGAGGAGCCTTGCGAGGAAGGTGCGGAATGGCCGAATCCGGAGACTGATGGCAGCGAGCCACCACGTCGGATTCGCAGGAAAACGCCCGCTTCGGAGGTTGAGCCTCCGTGTGCTACGGAGGAGGCGGAGGAGCCTGAGGGAGACGAAGACGTAGAAAAGAAGCCGATTTTTGCTAGACGGTATCGGCCGGGGGCACGGCCCCTGAATGCTGCCCGGTGGGATGCGATCAGAGATGCCTACAACGAGCGAGTGAGGCCTTTCGTGTACAACCACACGAAGACGGAGGACGAGTTGTGCTACATTGTTTGGGTGCAGTTTGTTGTCCATCTCGACTTTTGATTGTTGTAGTCACGCCTGTCCTGGCAGGATGTGTTTTGGATGTACATTCAGAACAAGCTCAAGGAGCATGGCGAGAATGTCACTGCCGAGGATTGGCCAAGCAGGGCTATGAACTTTACATGGGAGTTCTTGCGCGATGATGCTGTGAGTCTCTAGTCTGTGAATCGGATCGATCGGGGGATTGTTGAATGGGCTCGTTTTTGTATCTCTGCATGCGTGACATGGTCTCGCTCAGGTAAGCCGTGGTCGCACGATGGAGAGTATTTCTTTAACGGATCCAAGCGTTTCACGCGCAAGCAAGTTCACCAGTGGCTTTTCTCAGAAGCGTGAGAAGGGCTACGGAGCTTTTGGAACACGTGCCTCTATAGATCAGAGGCACGTGCCAGGGCAGGGTACCGGACGCGGTGCTCTGGGATTTTGTGTCACGATCAATAGGATCATTGCAGGTTGCGGGGGATGCGCCTCTCCTCACAAAGTCGCCTGACTGTCATAGACGGTAGCTGTCATGCTGAATAGAGCCCGAGCATCATGCTCGCATACGCTGCGCACGCAACAATACGTACGATTATACTTCGAATCCTGCTGGCACCGATCGACTCTTTAGGCGGCTTCTGTTCTCAAGTCCAGGATGCACCAACGGCTCGCAGAAAACACGAGTGAGCGACATAATATTTTGAAGTGCACTCTGATCGCATCCGCTTCATTTTTTGCACAGTCGCGACATGTGCAGCCCAACCTGGCGCAGGTCATGGCCTCTTTGGCCTGCTATGGAATTCTTCCTCACGACCCAGATGCCTCCGAGACAGAGTCAGGTGCCACCCCAGGACCCCAGGATGATCTGCTCATGCCAGGGCTGTGTGCTTGCATGTTTCCAATTGCATCTCCGAGCTTCAATGACACACTAATCGAGGCTTGTCTTGAGTTGCTGGAAGCTTGCTGCAGTTTTGTCGCTCTAGTTCGGTAGCAGTTTGTTGGAACCTTGATTTCGGCCATGGGGCCGGACTTCGTGGTTCACAACCTGATGAAATTGAAAGCTCCCAAGGTGCCTATATGAACGATCTAAGTCGCACTGTTGGTCGTGTGTTGGTGGGACGCATACAATATGATACCTTTTGCAGTCAAACCGATGTTACGCCAGCAACACTCACGGCAGGCCTTCATTCTGGCTATCCTGTGCTTGCTCTTCAACGACAGCATCAACACGCGGCAGGCCTGGTGAGGGTTTAGCCTCGCTTCCAGTGCCATGCCTGCGGGATAGCATGTAATCTTGCACGCAGGCCGTTCCCTTCGTGGAGCACTATGCCGGGCAAGCTGAGATGAGTCGAGCTGTGAGAGATTCATACTGCACTGATACCCTCAAGCTTGATCTCAAGTATCATCGATCTATGGATGTGACAACCGCTGCGGGCTTTGCGACAGGGCCTTACCCAATTGGTGTTATCAACTTTCCTGACCCCGATCGAACTGCACATATACCTCTACAAACCTCGCCTCCCAGGCTTCACTTGGTCTCGGTGCTCAACGGCGCCGGCAATGGTTTTACTCTTTGGCAGGGAATGCTTTGCAGTTCTTGGGTTTCTATATGTAAAGGTACCACGAAGAGGAGCTGGCTCAATCCTCTTGGCCTGGAGTCCCTGAATTGTGTTGCCATGGGCAACACGATGCTTTCAAGGACGGATCTGCATAGTTAACCCGAATTAAACTACAGCCCTCGATCAGCCTCAACCTTAGACCCTGTGCCTCTGCGCAGAACCGTCCTCATCAGCCTCCTCTGCGTGGCGATGGGAGGTTCATGGGTTCTGGAGCAGCCCCGGACGAGCCTAGCTTGGAGACACCCCAGATTTCAATGGATGTGCACCACGCACAAGGCGGCACCCTTAAACCCTAAACCCAAAACTAACCCTGCATATGTATATTCCTGACCCAGACAACCCTCTCCTGGCAGGTATTCTCGTGCCACTTCTGGATGATGCACTATGGCCACGACTGTCCCAAACGGACCAGCCTCTGGAGCAGCAATCCAAAGGTACAGTGTTTTGACAAGGGTGTTCTCACGGAGAAGTTCAAGAGTCGTTGCCGTGCCGAGCGTGGTCATGTGCCCACCGTGCGGAGAACTATCGACAAACGTGGCCGTCGTAGGTTTCATGGTCTTGAAGCACTGAAGAGTACCCAGATCCGTCCTGAGTTGTCAATCCTACAGCTAGCATGTGCAGCAATACTGTTCATCCCCGATCGTGCTTGTTTTGCATGTTCACTGACTCAGGACCTACACCCCGGAGTTTGGGTTGAAAATGGCCAACGAGCTGCCGAACTTCAACCGGTCGCCCCCGCTCAAGCAAACATCCATGTTCTGCACAGAGTCTGTGATAGCAGAACTGTGTGGCCTGGAGATGGACCCGGACGACTGGGCGGATGCTGGCTTACCTGAGCTGCTCAAGTACGTTTACGGTGCCAAAGGGCTAATTATCCCGGAACCATGGAAACCCTGCTTCCCCAAGAGTGTCTTTGTAGACTAGCTCGTCTCTTGGCTGTAGGATGATCTTTACCGGTCCCCGGCCTGTGCAGCACCATGAAATTTGATCTGTAATTTGATATCTGGCTGCTGTACGCACAGCAGGCAGAAGGAGCCGCATGGATGAAATCGTCCTGGCAGGTCATGCAAGACAGCAGTCGATGTACTTCGTCGGCGGACATGCACTGCGATATAATAGATGCATGTGCTGAAGCGTGTGCTGCATGATGCATGTTGTGGGTGCTCTGATTTAGCTACCTGTCTCGAGGGCTGGGGGGTGTGGTGGTGGGGTTGTTGGGGGTGTGCTGGGGGTGTTGTGGGGTGTGGTGGGGATGTGGTGGGGATGTGGTGGGGATGTGGTGGGGATGTGGTGGGGGTGTGGTGCGGTGGGTGTGGGGGTGTTGCGGGGGTTGTGGTGGGGCAGCCGGGCCGATGCTCATGATGCGCGCGCGCGCATCATGATTTCTGCTCGGGGCTTGGCGTCTCGGATGTGCTCCGGGCTTTGGTTTTGTTACGTGAAACGAGTCGCGGATTGAGGGCTGTTGCGTGAAATGTGCTGCGGGATTTGGCTGTTACGTGAAACGCTGCGCGGATTCATGGGCTGTTGCGACAAGTGTGGTGGTGGGGCTGTTGCGTGACATGTGAGGTGGCGGGGCTGTTACGTGAAATGGGAGGTGGCGGGGCTGTTGCGTGAATTGGGCCGGGTTAATGGTGCTGCTGCGTGAGTGCTGCTGTGGTTTGGAATATTTATAGGCTTCGCAGCGTGGTTTCCGATGCAGATTTCGCGCACTAGCTCTGTTTCACGCGTTTTGGGCCGCTGCGTGAAAATAAAACACACGGAACCAGCCGTGAAACACCCGTGTTTACACAGGAAACAGCCGTGAACACATGTGCAACGCATGCTTTTGTTTTGGGCAGCATTTGCACGCACTTTATGCAGTTGTTGCGTGAACCTGGCCTTGAGGACCTCTGTTTCGAGCTTGTTTCGGGGGCCTTTCCAAAGATCCCTCTAGTCCGATCACTACGCCATGGCACTACGAAAGGATGTTCACTCGGCTTCGACCTTGCTAAGCGGTCTGTCTTTCATGCTGCAGCACCAGAACTCCAAAGAAGGATTGGAAGCCTTCGAACAGGAGCAAACCAACGGCACGCTTTTGCATGAGCACACACACAGCGGAAACCACCCAGCAAAACCAAAAGCATGCCTGCAGGAGTTGCAGCAAGCCCTGTGCAACGTCGATGCGAAGACCGAGCCTGGATCCGAATCCGAGCTCCCAGATGCCAAGCGGATGAAGAAGGTGCCTGGTCTTCTAATGTTAATTGTGGCTGTGGGCCGATGCTTTTGCTACCCTTCTGCCTGTCCACTGTATAGGTCAAACAGGAACCTGGTGTGGCCCCGGCAAACGCGGCTCCGGCTCGACCGGTGCCAAGCCCTGCCCCGACCTCCCCTGGTTCAGAGGAAAACCTTCTGTGCATCCGACTACACTCGTGTGTACTTGCCTGGAATGACTTCCTTTGCACACATAACCCCACAGCTCCTGCAGGACTTGCAAGCCCAGCTCAGGGAGATGAAAGCCCTGCTCACACAGCAGCAGGAGGTGATCCAGATGCTTCGTCAAGCTAGGCCCCGAGCCCCTGATGCCCCTGATGAATCCTTGCCATCAAGCCCTGCTGCTCGGCAACAGTGTAACCAGAGTGCCAGCGTACTAAAACCCATGCAGTCATCAAGATATATATAGGTTTGCAGCGATTCCAACAGGTTAAATTCAGGGTTTGGGGTGTTGTGCAGTCACTGTACGCTCGCAATGAGCATTGCCTGCAGCCACGGATTGGCCGCACCACTTTTCAACGCTACAAGTTAGGGCCTCAACGAAGTCACCACCAACAGGCTATGTAGACTCGTGCAATCCTACCAAACCCCAGAATTCCATGAAACCTAAAAGGCCATATGCCGATAGCCCGCAAGCCCTATAGATTCCACTCCAACCATCTGCAATCAGGACACCAAGCTTGCGCCGAAGGCGTCGGGAGCTCTCTCGCCAGCAGCCTCGGTGAGATCGCGGTCCCACACCCCGGCCCCTGTAACGCCAGCCCCTAACGTAACAAAGAGAGATCGATCCCCGGCGCCTGCACCCGTGCCGCCTCTGACTGCCAAGAACTCAGACGAGTATCCTAGGGTGTTGGACGGTAAAAATCTTTCACGTACTGAGAAGCAGAAATGCAGAAGGGTGTGCATGCCCAAAGAGGGAAGCGGGACTTTGGAAGTGCCCGCCAACGTGATGGAGATGTGGGAGGCTGCCGGGACCCAGCGAGATGCTCTTTTCTCCATGTGGGCCAAGTGTGGCGGGGTGAAGGTGGGGAGGTGTTCATGCACTTAAATCCATGCAGATCCCATTGATAAACGCATAATATAGACTCTATGTTCAACCGTGTGCTGTCCTGATGAGCTAGTATCGGCAATTCACAGGCAGTGTTCATCGAGAGGGTTGTTGTCATGAGCAAGAAGACCCGGTCCAAGAAGCTGGTGGTGAAGGGAGGCTTCTATTCTAAGGAGGATATGAAGACCGAGCTCGGGTACGGTGCGCCACTTTGTGGCAGACTTCTGGTATACCATGCAGTAGTTAACGCACGCCTTTTCTGCAGCAACCGCACATTATAAAGCTGGCCTAACTTACCTTTTATATGCACTCGACCAGGCCACGGATCGAGAAAATCGTGAAGTGGGCCGAGTCCAAAAGACTCGTTCGGTGCCGTGGCAATTTATCCAGTGAGTATGCCCCATGTACATATAGCCGATCTGTGTGCCATGTGTACGTACAATTGTATTGTGCATGCATGTATACATGTTACTCTACGACCCTTAAACCCTAAAGGCCTAAAGCCCCAAACCCGAAAGCCCTAAATGATAAACCCTATAAACCCTAAAACCCTATAGCCCTACATTACCCCATTTAAAGCCCTATTATAATCCCGTACCCTAAAACCCAAATTAAAAACCCCAAACCCTAAAACCCTAAAGCCCTAAACCCTGAAATGAAACACGAGGCCCTGCGAGTACGACAGCGACACCATGGAATACTGGGTGAATACCCGGACCGAAGGGACCCTCACGAAGGAAGATATCGATGAAATCACTACCCAAAAGGAGTACGAGGGGGATGGTGGCACAGATCTCGAGATGAAGCCGTTGGTGCAGATGGGCAGCGCCCCTGATCTGGATCCAGCGGACCCGATGCTCGGGATGGCCCAGGACCTGGAAGGAGATACTCACAAGCCTGTAGTTTGTTACAATTACAAAGCCGGTCGATGCGTTTGTTCTGCTGTAGTTACTTAGGAAGCGATTCTAGCTTTAATTGTGCCAACTCAGGTAGCGAACCAAGTGAACGACTACTTGCGCGAGACCCTCCGGGCCAAGAACTCCCTCCAAAACTTCATTGATAGGTTGAGGACGGCTGCAGGTTCGAAGAATGAGTATGCAGAGACCCCGAGACAGCATATACAGTTGATCGTTTGAGGCACTTGCATCGACAGGTCATTCATGTAGCCGTGGACGATTGTGACCTGAGGAATATTCGCAGACTTGATGCTGTCTACAAAGAGCTCGAGAGCACTTACGATGAACTCGCAGAAGCAAAAGCGGAAGGCCGAACTACTGGGTTCAGCGACAAGCTACCGGACGCACACATTCAGAAGTGCTGGCTTGCTTTGCACGCTTGCAAACAAAATCATCTATCGGTTTCCCTGTGCATCCCAGGCTCAAGACCGAGTGCGAAGCATCTTTCAAAAAGGCACAGAGACTGTCGCTGGGCAAACTGGTAACAACCAGTCTTGCTAGGATTCAGTCCCGGGCATACGCACGAGTTTGGTTGTCTGGCCAAGGATGTCGAAGGCGACCACCTTGGAGGCTGCCAACAAGTCATCGCCCTAATTTCTTCTCGATCTATCCTAACATCGTTAGAAGGTTTCGTCAATTTTGCCCCCCCCCCTTTCGATCCCAGGCAGACACTCTCCAAGCTCCGCAAGGATGCTAAGAGAGCCACCGCAGCATGAGCTGTGACTGTCGATGCATCCGCAATCTCGGCAGCCGCTACACTTATGGGATTGGCTACGTAGATCGATGCAATTTGTTAGGAATCGATGTTGGATGGTACAGCTGAATATGGGGATGTCTCAAGTATCTGCATGCCTTGCATGATGTGGTGCAAGGCTGTCGAGACTTGTGGTGCCAACTGTTTTCATGTTCCTCGAGGCCTTAAGATCTCGATCGGTTGTGATTCAAAGTACGGGGCTCTGGCTTCGAACTTGAGGTGTTATGTCGCATGTACACTTATATGGTGACAACTTGTACAAACCCGATACACAAGCCCGTCGTCAGATACCGGTACCTAGATTCCTGAGCGCTTGAATACCAGCGCTACGACGTGTTGCAATGCAAATTCACAGTTGCGACTGGGGCGCAGGACACGTGATGTTGGCAGAAACAATCGCAGTATCAGGATGCGACAATACCGGGTATAGCGAGGGTACGGATCCTATATATTGATAACTCGACCCACCAATACCTGCAATCCCTCCTTGCAGACGTGCACCACACCCGTGCACAGAGTTTAGCGATCGATCCCTATAGCTGAATTTCAAACCTCACCCCCCCTCGCAGGCGATGGAATTCCAGTTGGGATTAGCGAGCTGGCTTACCGGCTAGCCCGGAAATACGCCAAAGGCGCCTGGGGCCTAGCCTAGCTGGCTTCATAATGAATTGCTCGATTTTTTTAAATACCGATCTCGAAATTTACTGGTAACAGTAATTTTCCTATCCCACATACTCTACCCACCCACGCAGTCATTCTTGAGTATGGCCGGGTTCATTCGTAGCCTCGGCAAACCCTCAATTAATTTGTCAATCCCAACTTCAAAACACTACACTCAAAGCCGATCTGCCTCCGAAAGCCTTGGCCTAGACGGGGTCTTGGAAACTTTGCTTAATTGAAAAAGATTGTCATTTAAGTCGTATAAGACAGGCCTGCTCGATGTGCACCCCGAAGCCAACGAATCCGCAAAGCTTGTTTATTGTTAGAACGACCCGGATCTATACACAAGCCGAAGCAGTGCCCCATAGGATCATCTGGTCGTCATATCTATTAAAAACCTCCATCCTCGACGGCCCCCTTCAACCTCTAGTACGACCTATTACAGGCTAGCTCGAAACCGGTTCACGCCCCAGGTCCCAGCAAACGACATTGTCGCCGACGCAAAAGCTGCCTCTCGTCGCGATCCTTGTGAGGTGCTGGGGCGATTGGCCAAGTGTAAGGAGAGCTCTGCTGACGCACCAGTATACAAGATATTTCGGGAAAGCGGCATGACTATGGGAATCAAGTTTTCTTATGCGAAGGTGGGTACGTTTGAGAAGTTTCCTTACATTGACCCACGGGACCTGCTGGAACATATTGTGGACCAGGGGTTCTTCCACAGGGTTCTAGGCCTACAAGTGGAGGTTGCCGAGAAATCGCTTGTCAAGTTTTGGGATATTTTTCGGTTGCTTCATCCCCGACATCCTATATTCGATCAATATTTTGAGCTGCAGCATGTCATACCATACTACCTTCACGGTGATGGTGGACGGGGATTCAAGAAGGAAGCTGTGGAGATTTTCAGTATGCTCCCATGTCTGGGATCCGGCTCTCGCAAACGGGCAATCCATCTGGCTGGTCCTAAGGCTAAGCGAGCTTATGACGAGGCAGACGAAGATTGCACGCTCGGAATCAACTTGCGGGGCATCACTGCCACAACTCGGTTTCTTTTCACTGTCTTGGGAAGTTTGGTAGCCAAAAACCATCCGGATGCCTTTGACGGTATTGCTGAACTATGGGGCAAAAGATTGGAATCGCTTTTTCTGGAAGGGTTTATGGTGCGTGGTCAGGTATGGAGGATTGCTATCGTTGGCTTCACTGGCGACAGCCCCTTTGTGAAGAAGATGGCCCACATGAAGCGGACATTTCACAACGTGAGGAAACGTGCTTCGTCCAAAAAAGATCAACCCGGCTGCTGCTGGCTATGTCGAGCTGGCTTCGAAACCGCTACTGAACACATAGCATTCGAACACTTGGGGCTATGGGAACCTGATTGGATTCGCACTCAGGGCCTTGCGAATACATTGCCGTGGCTATCTCCAGGAGGGCCGATCCTGCAGTACATGTTGCTGGAGGAGGATGATGCCCCAAGCTTTTTTAGGCCAGATCTTTTCCACGTCTATCATTCTGGCGTTGGCAAGGATTTCCTGGGCAGTTCCTTTATCTACGCCATTCAGATCCTGCTCAACCGTGGCGGAGTTGACAGAAACATCCAAGCCCTCAACGATCTCCTAAAAGCGTTTCTGCGTCGAAGGAAGCTTTATTTGCACTGCAGGACCTTATCTCCAGACACACTGGGTTACAGCAGCACGAAAGAGTACCCGGAGGGCCATTGGTCCAAAAACCAAGACACGGCGGTGCTCATGAGGTTTCTAGTTGAGCTTCTCGAAGATCATCCCAGGTCAGTATCGAGCGATGCAATGTTGACAGAGATGCTGCTAGCTGCTCGTGCTATGGGCAACTTCATGCGCACGAGCTTTCAGGCTGATTATTTTATGTCGTCTGCAGATTGCCAGAAGCTTTTGCGATCTGGTCATCAGTTCTTAATGGGGTACCGCCGCCTAGCATCTTTCAGCTACGACAAGGGCTTATGCCTGTACAAACTCAAGCCAAAAATCCACTACCTCAACCACATCGTTTTGACTGTCAAGGAGCAATGGCTCGCAAGTGGGACTGCTGTCAATCCGGTTGCAGAAGCAACGTTTATGAGCGAAGATTTTGTCGGCCAGATCGCTCGTGCAAGCAGGCGTGTCAACGCCAAAGTCGTGACGAAGAAAACACTGCAACGTTACGATCTTATGCTCAAAGCAGCTCTCGACAACGAGGAGTTAAGCCTGTTGGATCTGTCGTGGATAGACTGAGGCTCGTTTCACGTGGCTTTGCAGCACTGGCTTACTAATTAGATGAGAATATACATTCCCTAGCAAAGCAACCGATCCAACTGAACCCCAACTTCGGTAAAATACCCATGATGCTCCCAGGCGCAGTCCTCAACGCAGGGCATCGAAGCCGGAGTGGCGATCAAAGATGCGGAAATGGAGCTTTTGGTGGGGGATCTTGACGAGGTTTTTTTGAATTGTTGCGAGGTGGGTGTGTTTCGGGTTTGGCATGGTTGGCCTAACTCAGTTTGTTCTGGAATTAAGGCGGATCTACCCTAGGATACCGATGTCCAAACCTCTTGAACCTTCAGCCCTGCGAACATCTCCTCATAAGATGGCATCATATAACTGTGACGTCAAAAGCGGCGTCGGCACAAACTTCTGCACGCATGTGAATTCTCAGCTGCGCATGTGATTCCAAAACGCTTGTTTATTAATAGGTGTTTGGCTATGAAGGTATATATATATATATAGACCTTCCACAAGGCTCCTGTTACGGTAACTACCCACGTGAAAATGTAATGGAGGAGACTGTTCTACATCAAGGCCGGTGTTCGGGCACCGGAGCTGAACAACATCTGCTCCAAACCATTGAGGCCTTAGGGTTTATAGGGGCATAGGGCTTGTGGTACTGGCACTATAGTGCCTTATAGTCTCTATGTAACTGTAGGTTTTAAGGTTTATATACATATGAGAACTTTTTGGAACCAAATACTTAATGTCCTATGCAAATCCCTGTACTTAAACATGCGTTTCTCCTGAATGAAAAAAATAAAGCCGAAACCGAACGGTAACAAACAAGACTTCCCAAACAGGGCCAAGGAGCAAAAGGGACTCGGCAGCTACATCGTCGGCGCCTCGCTGGCAGCCCTTCAAAAGATCAATGTAGACCTGATGCGGCTGATGTTGATACGGCTCGCATAAGGTAAGGAGGTGCGCAATGTTCCTTAAAGGGACTCTTAAGGGGAGTAGGAGATTTTGCTTCCAAGAGTAGGCCTTGCAAGGCCAGTGAGAGGTCCTTATTAATGGCCCTAAACCCTAAACATCCCTAGACCCTAAAGCCTAAACCCTAAACATCCCTAAACCCTAAACCCTCAGGACCCCTACCGCCCCTCCCCCTTCCCCCCCTAAAGGTAAGCCCGTGATAACTGAACCCCTCAACTCTCAGAAATATATGTTATCAGAGAGATCCTAATTTGAAGACCTTGAAAGACAGGGTGTTTGTTCAATGTCTGCAAGCGTCGCTAGTGGGGGATGTTGTAATGTGGGGGCTTTAATATAACAATTACAATAGAGTGTTGGGCTCCGTTATCGTACAATAGGTAAACCCTCAGGAACAAGATTGGCATGTATGGAGGCTGCTAGGTATGCTATATGTGGGGACTGACTGGCCCTATGGCAAGCCTGAAATGCTGCAGTGAGATCCTTATCATATCATAAGAACTCCCCGAATAAGCAACCCAGTCTCAAGAACCCTTATAAAGCCTTGAGTTCGAACGGCCGTAGAGCACGACAGGCCAGCAAACCTGCCATGAGACAACCAGCATCACTCTCAACATGCCTACCCTGAAAAAGTTATTCAAACCTTTTCGGCTCAATAATTGAACGAAGACCTACGCAATACCCCTAAACCCTAATACCCTAAACCCCTCAGCCCTCAACCCCAGACAGCTGAAGCACCCTGGGGAGTAGACTTTCGGGTTTCGGGGTGCAGGGCTTCGGGTTGATACCAAAACCTACTGCTTGAACAGTTAAGCCCTGTACCTAATGAGTTAAAACCTACTAGTTTGTAGGGCTTGGAGCTACAGGTAGTATTTTGAGTGTGCTGGGACTCCAAATAACTCAAAGTAGGTACTACTCAATAGACTTTAGACCCCCAATGTAGGCACTAGTCGTCTTCCTGAAGCCCTCGGGACAGGTAGTATTTGGTATACCCTAAACCCTCACTAAACCCTAAACCCTAATTCCTAAACACCAAACCGTAAACCCTAAACCCTAAACACTAAACCCTAAACCCTGAACGCCAAACCCTAAACCCTAAAGCCTCTACCCTGGGGTTTCCCGGTTCGAAGTTAGAAAACCCAGCCGAGATGCCCCGGAATCCAGCTCGATTCGCCAGGTGCTGGCCCGCTCCAAGACGGAACTGCAGGGTTAAGGGTTTAGGGGTTAGGGTTTAGGGGTTCTGGTTAGGGTCTGGGGTTTGGGGTGTAGGGTTTAGGGTTTGGTGTTTAGGGCTTTGGGTTTAGGGGTTTGGGTTTGGGGTGGAGGGTTTAGGGCTTAAGGTAAGTGCGTACATAATAGAAACTAGGGTTGCAATAGTAGGAATTACGTTTATGGTTTGGTACCCCCTGCTACCGCAAGGCTCCATGTGCTCATATAGCAGGTACTTAGGCGTAACACCTATATTCGAACCCTAGCCCTAAACCCAAAACTCAAAATCCCAAACCCTACACCCAAAACCCAAAACCCTAGAACCCCAGAACCGCTTTGTAGGGCCTACGCAAGTACAATCAGCGTAGAGCCCCGAGGTCTACCTCTGTATATCATTACTCAAAACCAAGATACCTGAGGAATGTACTAGGTGTTGCGGTAGATCGTAGTACGGTGATGCTAAGGAAATCTTAGGTTCTGGTGCATACTATAGTATAAGTTGAAAAAGACCTCTAACGAATATATATATATATATATACATACATACATATACACGCACAGTAGGTTTAGGGGGTACACTATATATAGCACAGTTGTCTTCAGGAGCAATACCTCTCAGAAGATTCGAGGGGTCCTTTAAATGGTTGTAAGGTATAGGACTGCTAAACCCTACACCGTGAGCCTACACCCTCAACCCTAAACGGAAGTCTTACTTCATTAATTTAGGCGCTTAAATAATTACCAATACTGTTTTGGGGGCTCCTTCTTCGAACTACAGCATAAATACCCGAAAACCCTAGTCTACATATTAAGGCAACCCCTAAACCCCTAAATCCCAAAACCCTATTCTAATTATTAAGGCCCTAAGCCCCTAAACCCCTAAATCCTATAAACCCAAAACCCCCAAAACCCAAAACCCTAGAACCCCAAACCCCAAACCCTAGAACCCAAAACCCTGAGGCCCCTGCATTACGGGATGGTGGGATTCCAGGAGCCCGAAAGCACGCGTGGACCGAACCCTGGAGGCCCAGGAAGCTTTGAAAACGGCGGAACTTCGAACCCCAAACCCGTTAATTCAGGAATCTAGGGTTTAGGGCTTAGGGTTCTTTTAAGGGTTCCTTTGAAGGAGTTTAGGCTGTAGGGTTTAGGGTTTATTGTCTTAAGGTTTAGGGTTGAGGCTTTAGGGTTTAGGGTTTACTTTTATTCAGGAATCTACGGTTTAGGGTTTAGGGTTAGTTAGGGTTTAGGGTTTAGGGTTAGTTAGGGAATCTTAACCCCCTGCCCCACACCCGATGTTCCGGTCTCTAAACTCTATCGAACTGTTTATTGGCTACTCGTTGTTATTAAGCTGATCTCGCGTGTCCCTGCTGGCACCACCCTCGCGAGCACCGCCCCCAAGTCACGATGGAGCCGTCCCCAAAAATCGCAGCGAAGGCCAACCGAGTTGCTTGAATCTGGTGGACATTTTTCTTCAGCACTCGCACAACACTGTCATCATCGCAGCCCGCATCGCCTCAGGAAACGGCAGAGCCATCAACGAGGATGGCAGCAAATGCCTAATTATAACTTGGTTGAATCTACTGCACAGTCTTCAGCTGATCTCGCACAGCACTGCTGTCACCACCACTGTCAGCCTTGCCCCAGGTCACGACAGATCCGTCCCCCAGAATCGCAGCAAAGGCCGAACCAGTTGCTTGAATCTGCTGCACATTCTTCAGCTGATCTCGCACAACACTGCTGTCACCACCAGTGTCAGCATTACCCCAGGTCACGACAGATCCGTCCCCCAGAATCGCAGCAAAGGCCGAACCAGTTGCTTGAATCTGCTGCACATTCTTGAGCTGATCTCGCACAGCACTGCTGTCACCACCGAAGTCAGCACTGCCCCAGGACACGACGGAGCCGTCCCCGAGAATCGCAGCAAAGGCCGCACCAGTTGCGTGAATCTGCTGCACAGTCTTCAGCTGATCTCGCACAGCACTGCTGTCACCACCGTTGCCAGCATGGCCCCAGGACACGACGGAGTCGTCTCCCAGGATCGCAGCAAAGGCCACGGGACTTGCTTGAATGTGCTGCACAATCTTCAGCTGACCTTGCACAGCACTGCTGTCCCCCCCGCGTTCAGCACGGCCCCAGGACACAACGGCGCCGTCCCCGAGAATCGCAGCAAAGGCCGAACCAGTTGTTTGAATGTGCTGCACAGTCTTCAGCTGATGTCGCACAGCACTGCTGTCACCACCGGTGTCAGCCTTGCCCCAGGACACGACAGATCCGTCTCCCAGATGCTCGAATCTGCTGCACATTCTTCAGCTGATCTCGCACAGCACTGTTGTCACCACCGAAGTCAGCACTGCCCCAGGTCACGACAGATCCGTCTCCCAGAATCGCGGCAAAGGCAAGCAGAGTTGCTTGAATCTGCGTTACATTCTTCAGCTGATCTCGCACAGCACTGCTGTCCCCCCCGTTGCCAGCATGGCCCGAGGACACGACGGAACCGTCCCC